GCGCTACTGCTTCCACACTGATCTCATGTGGAATTCTAGAAAAAAATGGAAAAATAACCTCCCAAAGCATAAAGTAGAAAACAGATCCACAACTCTAGGCAAACTTTATTCATGTCACTTAATGATGCTCAATATTGCCTTCTCCTCTGTTACCTTCTGGGATTTTCTCTTTTATGGTGATGCCATTAATCCAGGAAACACAAAGCCTGTCTTCCACCCTGGTATGTCCAGGAAGATCTGCTGAAGCCCTGCCTTCCTCCTTTATCTTTCTCTCGTGCCCCCCAAGATGATGGACAGGCACTTATACAAACTTACTCATAAAATATTTTTGTTTTTCTAACCCCAAACAAAATTTACTATAATACTAAAAATATTTCTGTACTTTGTAACAGTCAAGTAGATGTGCATTATAAGCATAGATTAACAAAAATGATAAAAGAATTCCTCAGAAAGAGTGATACACTGAATTTTGATAGGTCACCATAACTGGAGATGGAACCAACTATGAGAAAAATAACTAAAGGCCACATCTGAAAATTCACAGTAGGATCATGACTAAGGACCAAGTAAGCGCTGTTTCCAGAGATAAATTTTTATGCCATTTAAAACATTTTTATTTTATGTGTATGAGTTTGCTTGCATATGTGTACGTACACTTGCATCATGCAGTGCCTGCGGAGGTCAGAAGAGGGCGTTGGATCACCTGGAACTGGAGTTACAGAGGGTTCTTAGCTGTCAGTGGGTGTTGGGACTCAAATCCAGGTCCTCTGCAGGGGCAACCAGTGCTCTTAATTGCTGAGCTGTCTCTCCAGCCCCAATTTTTATGCTTTTTTACAAATGCATATTTACTCATCTGTATATACACAAAAAGCCACATATTAAGTGACAGACTGGTCATCATTTTCCTCTTAAATATGATAAGTCCAGAGGTAACATTTCTGCATTTCCAGAGCTGGGATCACAACCATTTGTGTTTAGTAGAAGGCTGACTGATTTTTGTACATATTTTGCTATTTAAGGTAGATGAACTTGGTTTCTTTATAAAATTTGAGCATTATTCAAGCACAGAGCCGTGAGTGTTAAATGAACAAATGCAGGGTAAATCCTTAGAACATAAGGAAGGAAATGTTCTCTACCAAGTGCCAGATACTAAATAATTTAAGTTTTGAAATCTCATGGTCTCCTCCCTTCCTCTCTTCTGGTATTGTTTTCCTTCCTCTAAGTAGTCATTCTCTCTCTCTCTCTCTCTCTCTCTCTCTCTCTCTCTCTCTCTCTCTCTCTCTTCACTCTCTGTCTCTCCCCTTCTCTCCCACTCTGTGTCTGTCTGTCTGTCTCTCTCCCACTCTCTCTCCTTTCTTTTTTTCTGTTTTTGTTTTCTTACGACCCTTTAAAAATGGTGTAAACACTAGGCCGGGTTTGGTGGTGCACACCTTTCATCCCAGCACTTAGGAAGTAAAGGCAAGTGTATCTCTATGAGTTCAAGGCTAGTCTGAGTTACATAGTGAGTTCCAGGTCAGTCAGGAGCCTTTTATATCCCTCTACCTCCCCCTTCAAAAAAGATCCCCCAAAGCAAGAAAAGTAAAAAATCATTCTTAACTTCCAGTGCCATCCAAAAAGCAGGCTACAACCCACTGCTTGGAAATATGTCTTGCACTTAGAGTGCTGATTATTATTGAAACTGAATATAAATTCTTATGAAGAATTTAAAGAAGTTATAAGTAATGGGTACAAAATAAATGGATGTTTTGGCAATAAATACATAAAGCATTAAGTCTGTCAATACATATTTTTCATTACCAAGGTCATGAAATTTAGAAGTATTGAGATTTTCTTCTCCTGGTCTTTTTCCTACATGGATGTTTATTTCAGAATTTAAGGAGCTCCTCACAAACTGCTCAGCTCTTATGAATATATTCAGAGTTAATATATTTCTTTACAAAGAAGTGTTAGATTGCTGACACTTCATATTGTAGCGACTGTGGAGTACAACATATCCACATAAAATCCTGCATAGTTTTACATTTTAGTTATTAACCCATCACTGTGTTATCATTGGACTATCATTTCAGCTGGCTCTTGAGTCTTATAAAAAGCAACTTATGTGTTCTAGTTAATAAAAGTAGTCATTAGCTTGATGAGAATGAAAATACCATGGAATTTCAATGGAAAATAATAAATAGCTTGATCATACCACAAAGAAGTTGAGAATTCTATGTAGCCAATGATGAGAACAGGCACAGAGCCATCTTACCTACGTCAAAATCAAGTGAAACAGTACCTGCTAGTGTTATTTTGTTTACTTATTTTAATACCAGCCTTACTCTGTACCCCAGATTGGACTTGAATTCACAGTCCACCCAGGTTCAACCTCCTGTGTGCTGGGGTTATATGCTATGCCACCATGTCACTGCCTATTTAGTGTCTAATTTTTTTTTTTTACCATTATCAAACCAGCCTTTAAATATCTGAAGAGAGAATAAACATATTAGCATAATATTCATCAGCATGTTGGTGCATTTGGGCCATTCATGCATACACCACAGGGCTGTCCCCCAATACACATGTATGTATGCAGTCTCACCATGTATCCTATTTGCTATTTCACACACACACACACACACACACACACACACACACACAATTTCCTGTATAAACTCACTCATTTTTCTGCATTCACAGAAATTTATGTGGTCACACTCTGCACATATGCTCTCTATACTCTAATGTACTCACACATCCTATTCACACACCTGTGTATTCACTCACACTCCCTATACATATACATACTTTCCACACACAATTCTCTGTATACAATCATAACCTAATCTACAGCACACACATATTAAATCCTCACGCACTCTCAACACAATGGACATACTCTAACACTCATATAAACTCACACTTTGTGATACATAGTCATAAGACACATACATTCTAAGAGGTAGAGTAAGCCATTGATCAAAGTTTCTCCTCTGAGCTACTGGTATCAACAATGACAAAAAATAAGGTTCTTGCTTAGCAACTGTAGTGAAAGTACAAATTTAGTTTTGCTCATAGGAGAAAATCATTGTAGACTACATACCTAAATGCTCCTAGCTTTTCCTATATGGTAACAATGAAGCACTGAATCTAAGTAGCAAAATGAACTTTGTTATTTTAGCAATTAAAACTTCCTTTGGAGTGAACTGTGAATTAACTGCAGGAGTAATGCATATTTCTTGAGCACTGTCATATTAGATATTCTAACTTGTTCATAGCAGCGAACATGTAAAAGTGAAAACAGTGGTCTCCTAGCTTATAGATTATATATTGTCTTTGTCATTATATTTGATAAAGAACTTCATAGTTTATAGCTGACTTTGTCCATTATTCTTGCAATTTTTACTGCATTACTAATGGGAAAGAGTTCAATATTATTAGTGAAATATGCAAAAATATGCAGAATTTTACCCTAAAGCAGATTATGCTAGAAATTCAGGCAAAGAGGTTTAATATAATAGTGCACTAATAAGTCAGCTCTCGGAATGCAAAGATTTTAACTTTTGGTCTGTCACCTTCAGTTGGAGCTGGGTTTCCAATATCTACGGCTTTTAAATCTTAATTAGCCGAGGAAGTAGACCAGCCCAGAGGCAAGAAAAAAAATTTAAAATGAGACTCAATATCTTATACACTGTGGAGTTTCCAAAAAGGAAGGCAGAGGGAACAAAAACACAGATTCTGATGTGTTCTCTGCATTACCATATGCTAGTGTCCATCAGTGTTTGTTGCTCTAATGGGCAGCCCGACATCTGTGGCAACTGGGAAGTTGTTGAAATCAAAATGAATCCAGGGAGGCTGTGATTAACTTTCTAGGATGAAAGGTGTCATCCAAGTGAATACAGATCTGGGTGGTCTCCTGAGTACACTCGAAGGAATGCAGATATCAGACTTAAGACTTTAGTGGCTGTACTCTCAGAATCAGGTAAAGGGCATTTCTGTGGGTCAAACGATGGAAAACTTAGGGAATAGAAAACTGAATTTTTTAACTTTGCCTTCCTTTGTATACATGTAGGATTCACATGTTTCCAGCTTAAATCTTTGGAAGCAGGTCATGCCTCTGCCCTGCTGTCATCAGATGTGCACCAACTGAAGTCTTTGCTTTGTGAACACAGCAAAAGGAAGCCAAAGGAATAAACAGTCAAAATAATTACTTTTCTTGGCAGAGGAATAATTAAGAGACTCAGCAACATGAAATGCGTAAGTGTATGCCTTATCTCACCGTACATGTTTGCACTCTAAAAATAATACCTTGTGCAACTTTGAGAGGCTTCTTCTGAAGACTCGCTTATTTTATCAGTGAATGATTTTACAGAGTGAAATATCAAGAAGCGTTTTAGGATCTCATTCACTCTGTATGTTGCTCCTGATATACAAAATATATCATTTCTAGAAGTCAAGGTTTTCCATGTAATAGACTCGGTTCCCCAGCACAGTGAACTTTTCATGAAAGCATGAGATATAATTGAGTTTTCTTTCATGTCTTTAAAGCTTTTTAAAATTCATGAATTTTCTTATCATTTTTGCAGCAAAGCAAAAGTATTTCCAAATCCGTTTTGAATTTGGTGCTTAACATTAACATATTTAAAATGTTACAGGAATAGATGGAGTGGAATAAATCTTACATAAGAAAGTATTTGATTTGTGATGCATATTAATGCTGTGAATAGGCCAGTTATTCCCATTAAATCAGTTCTGTTACCTGTCACAGAGCTGTCTAGATTGTCCATACTGGATCCGGGTGTCTGGTCTAGTGCTCTGAGGGGCCTGGGGATTTCTAAGGGTTCCTCTTCATCATCAGCATCTTCATCTGGAACATCCGTTTCCAAATCAGAAATCAAGGCTCCAGACACATAACCTAATGGTGGAACTGGGGGCTGTGGAGGTGGAGTATTGCTTTGAATGTGCCTAGAATTCAAATGGAAAGAAATGAAACACAGGAAACAATTCATCAACATTAAGCAAAACTTATGTAATTCATGTTAATTGGCATGCTGTGGTAACTGAAACTGTCTTCTTCTCTGTTCACTCATTTAGCACATTTCCTTCTATTTCAGCAAAGACACTGGGATATTGGCTACATGCCTTACCAAGTAACAGCACATATACTCTAAAAATTCTTGTATTGATGTCTTTTTCCAGAACAATATAGCCATTTTGTTTCCAAGTTAATGTTGAAGTCCAACTAACTTGTTTTAACATATATAGCCTGCAGAACTTATGAAGAAAATGTTAGGTGAGAACTCAGTTTCCCTCAGCCCTGTCTTAGGCACATTTCCAGTCCTAAGAGGATTTCTTTGGGTACAATTCTCAGGGTGAGTTGTTGTTTTTCATTTTCCAGTATAGAATAGATACAGATACTTTGTATGCTAGCTATTTCACCTACCAAGTCTTATGAGCAAAAACAATTCGTATAAGAATTGAATTTAGAACATAAGGTGTGTTAAATAAACTCTGTGTGATGAGTGAAGAAGTCTATATTCAACTTGTGAAATGAACAGTATCAGTCCTGCTTTTGAAAATTCTAAAGAAAGCTTAAGGGACTTGGTTTGGATTTTTGACCAACACAATGTGAGTGACACACTAGTGGTTCCAGTGATTTGCTTTGAGACTGTTTAAGGAGTTCTTTCAACCTATAAAATGCTAAAAAAAAAAAAAAAAAAAAAGGTGATTCATTGCTATTTGTTACTGTCACTAAAGAATGAATATCTTTTATATTTGAACAAAGAAAATCGTTTCAATGGCTTCATATACGCATATTTTAAATCCTCTCCCATTTGCAAATAATTTCAAAGTAAGTAGTATGCATTTTATGATTGACTTTTGAATGAATAGTACAAGAATATTTCTCTCTCCATTTGCATTCATTTAAGAAAATGTTTCATTTTCTAAAAATTGATTAATATTCTTCCTTGAATTGTATTCTTGAAATGATAAACAATTGGGATATTAATAAGTTTCTAGATCTTTTAATAGTGAAAAACCAAAAGTATTAGTTCTAGAAATCACTTCATGGCTGCCAGATCTAATCGTTAATATTATAGACCAGGAGTTGGGGGCACCAAGGAAGCCCCTGGCATTCATCCAAAACCTCTAAATTAAAATGAGGATGGAAAAGTTTTACTGAACTCTATTAGACAAAATACTGAGCCTTGACAATGCATCTTTGCCTCATATGCTGCATCATATTTTTTTGTGAATGGAGATAGAGGTGGCCAGGTGATGAACAAGACATGAATGAGAAAATACAGGGCAGTATTATCTGCAGAATTCATTTAACATAATGCCATAGATTTGGGGGAAGGATGGAGGGGACCAAAATTCTAATCCTATATAAATGTTGGCATGTCTTGATGAAAAAGATACATTAAGGGTTGAAAAATGTACTCTCTAACTGAAGCACAATTACATGATGGTATGTAGGGTTTATAAATATCTTCTAGTAATAAGCACTGATATGCACATTTGATCGTCAATATGAACAGCATCTTTGCAAGTGCAGCTGCATACCTAGCATTTATAGCTCTATGATGCTAATGTGCAAAAATGAAGAGGCACTTCCAAACCAGAAGAGTGAGGTATTGTTTGGGCAAAGGATGAGTGACAACTCTCTTATACAAAGTCAGCTAAGGAAGATGGATGGATTGAGTAGGCCCATACTCAGGGTTGAAAAATTCTCTAAAAATCATGAGAGTTGGGCTTATTGACATGTTTGCAATATTTTCAAAGAACACATAGTAGACTTCCATTAATGGTTTCTGAATTTATAGTTTTATTAGAAAACAATTTTGGTTTTTAAAACACTTATTCTTGATTTTGAGTCATTTACTCTTTTTATCTTTAATTTTCCTGATTCACTTAATTCAGATCAAACAGGCTCTATTAATAGCTGACACTGCCAGGTCCACCACCCATATCCACCGAACTTTGTATCCTATTTTTTGTATATTTTTTGAATTTTTATGTATTTCATACACATGTTAATCATCTTTATACGTCCTTCACCATTAGCATCCTTCCATAGGCCCACACTGGATTTCATGCTTTCTGTCATTTATGTTAAGGCCTATCAGTCACGTTAGTGTCCCCAGACATCCCTCAGTGCGAGTTCATCCACTGGAGTCTAGTCAGTCTACCTACAGTCACTCCCTTAAAGAGGATCAGCACTTCTTCACTCAGCAATAATCAGCTACTCAATAGTTCTTTGGCTAAGACTGGGGCCTGCTGCCCATTTCTATGGGCAGTTCTATGCTGGGTTTTTGTCTACTTCAGTTTGCATGGGACTTGTATATGCTGTCAGCATTGCTGTACGTTCATATGAGCAAGGTACCAGGAGTCTGTAAGACTCTGTTTCCATATTGTCATGCATCTCATCCCCTGGCTCTTGCAATCTTTCCGCCCCCTCTTCCACAATGGTCTCTGAGCACTGGCTGTCCTATTTTTTCGTTAAACCCATCATGTCTATTTTGTGCTCCCATATACTTTTGGGTGTGTGGGAGGAGTTGAGGGAGAGGGAGTGTGATCAAAATAATTGCATGAAATTACTAAAGAACTAATAAAACAAATTTCAAAAGTAATTGACCTCAGGGCATGTGTAGACACTTATATTTTCATATTCACAACCACATACAGAGTTAATCACAGGCACTTTGGGAATTTGAAATGAGTCCTTTATTGTGACATTAAAAGTGAGTTTAAAGATAAGCTAACTGAAACTGAACTGTAAATTTTATAAAACATTCTGGTGTAGCCAAAAGCACTTCATCATGAATCCTTGCTCCAATACATTTCTCTAACCAGTCCTGTGATTTCAGTTAGAATATTTAGCATTTCTCTCATCAGTATCTTTATATAAATGGTTAACTCATATTCAAAACCGTTTTTCACCCCACCTACATGGATTTATGAGACTCTCTTGTGAATATACATGCAAAAATACTTCCATGTGAGGAAAGCATGGGGCTGTGGATTACTGAGGATATTTACCATGTTTGTTTTGCTATGTCAAACTGATAGGCCCTAGTCAGCTCATCCAGGTGAGCTTGCAACATGGGTTGCATCTCTTCCCGTGGAGATGGAGTAAGAGTGGCAGTAGACTGCTGTCCAAAAGAGATAGCAGGAGAAGAGGCCACACCGCGAACAGGAGGCGTTGGGACACGATCATCATCTTCTTCCAGTTCATCTTCCATACCCTGGTGCAAATATGTTTGCACTGGTAATGGTGGACACCAGCTATCACTGTCATAGCTGAAATTAAATTTAAAAAAGTACATTGACACACACACAAACACACAATTAAATTAGCAATATATAGTACCCACATGGTTTCTAAAAGGTTCCCTCAGTTTATTTCTTCCTGATCACATTATTGGTGCTACTGTAGTAAATCACCTGGCTATTATCTTGATTTCTGTTTGTAATTACATCTGTTATCTCAAAATATCTCAATTTATTCTTAAAAGGACTTATTAGTTAATTGTTACTCCACAGTTACAAAAGGCAATAACTTCCTAACAAAGTTACTCATGTGGAAACACCAAATTGCTAATTAAAGACAATTAATGAAGTCAGTACTTGTAGAGTTAACCATTCGTTTCTCTTCCTCATCCTGTCCCCAGCAGAATAAGCCAGTAGAGCTGATTGATCACCTAACACGTAAGTGGGGAAATTTTATTTGCTCTTCTTCTAAATCTATGCCAATCTATTATTCCATATAATAGCTATCAAGAACACTTCCTAATAAAAATATCAAAAACTCTTTGGTTCCTTTATGTTTCTCTTTAGAAAATCAACATATAAAGAAAAATGCAAAATATGTAGTAAAAGAAAAATAATTGCTTTATTATAGTAAAAGTAGTATTAAATCCACCTTTTAACACATATTTAAGAGTATGATAAAAATACTTTGAATATTTAAATTGCATATCAAAACAAATTTTAAAAGGATTCTGGATCAGGAATTTCAACTATCAATCCAAAAGTTTGTTACTGTGTTACAAAATCAGCAACATTTCTATTTATACAATTTCTGCAACCTTACTATTTTCAGAAGTCAAATAAAACCTAAATTACATTTACAGAGACTTCATCAAAGCTGCACTTGCTGGCATTGGGACCACACAAGGCTTGAGCAGTAAACATTCAGCTGCAGATGGGGGCGGGGCGGGGGGGCTCATGGAGCCAAACTTGGCCCAGTGGAGCTGGGCTGCTGGGAAAGAGGAAGCCAGTGTCTTCATAGATATAGTCTTTGATGAGTTATGCTCTAGCACCCAGAGTTATACCCATGCCCATGTGAGAGGCTCTGGTTAAAGCCAGTGTATCACAAAGCAAAAAACAAAACAAAAAGACATGGAAGTGGGATGGAGACTTGGTAGGAAGAAGTGGGGAAGCTCGTGCAGTTAGGAGGATGTTAAGACAGGTTGGAGGGATGAACATAAACATAGCGTATAACATGCATGCATGAAATTGTCAAAGAATAAATTAATTTAAAATAAGACAGAGGCCATAAGAGCCACATAAGAAAATAAAAGATTTAAGAATAAGATTATTGAACATAGTTATGCTACTGAATATAACAGTTTTATAGAACCAACCTCTTCTTAAACGTCTCCTGAATCTTTCTCCTACAGCTCATTCCTACTTTATCATTCACAAATTAGTTGCCTCCCAGTATATATTTGAACCTTAGGTTGTTTTTTTTTTTTTTTTTTTTAACACCTGAAACAGGATTCTATTTCCAAGTCACATCATACCCATATTTAAAATTATTTGATAAACATAACTAAGATAAAGTAATTCCAAACTTATTAACTGGTCTTAAAATACCCACTACCAAGCCAGCCTATATTTATAGCTTAATTTCCCACTATTTCCCAAATACCAACCTATTATTTAGTTATTACTAAATGCTATGTGCAAGTGTACATATGTGGTTTGTGAACAAGCTTGTGAAGGTGCACATGTCTCTTGTGTGTGCATGTAGATGCCAGAACTGATTTTTTAAATTTCCTGTATTGTCCTTCAACTTATTTTTTGAGACTTTTTCACTGAACCTGAGCTTGCTGTTTTGACTACACTGGCTGTCCTGAAAACCCCAGGATCCACCTGCCTCCCTTCATCCCCGGCACTAGGGTTATAGGCAAAATATACTTCATGGTTTTCACATTCATGGTGGGAATCTGGATTCAGGTCTTCCTGCTTGCTGTACAAGGGCTTCACCCAATGCACCATCTCCCAACCCTCTCAAATCTTGATTTATACATGACTTCTCTCATCATCTGCCTACGAAACCTTGCCTTACCTCCAAGGTTCATTTCCAATGTCATTGATTTTTTATGACTTTTATGTTCTTTCTACTTGGAATAGATTATAACTCCATGATACTTATTTGAGGAACAGGTCATATTATCATGGAATTATTTGTTTCCTTTCATTCAATTCTTCTGTTGTAATCTTGGATCCATGAAGTATATTCTTCTTGATATTTATAGAACTAAGTGTAATATTTGTCATGCAGGAGATATTATGAAAACTCAAAACAGAATGGATATTATAACTGCATATACCTGACCTTGATCTCGGTAATGAACTGTAACTTGCAAATGTATAGACGATTCTTGAATAAATGCCTTGTAGTTTCTCCTACTTTAAATTGATGAATGTTAATAGCAGACTCACTCCTAACTGTCAAAATTTGAAAGTAATCAAGATCTACCCCAGAAGCCAAATGGCTAAACTTGGTGCATCCATACAATGGTAGATTGCTTACTGTTTACAAAAAGAAAATGATCTGTCAAGCCATAAAAACCATATGGCAGAAACTTAAAAGCATCTTTCTAAGTGGCAGAAGTCAGTCTTAAAAGGTGACATAATATATAATCCCAACTATATGATATTTTTGGAAAATGCAATTTATGGGAGTGGTAAAACAATCATCGTCAGGAAATGGCAAGTGTGGAGGACTTCAGAGTAGTGAAAATATTCTTTATCATACAATACTGGCAGATACATCACATATTTTTCCAAACCAGCCAGGTATAGCAGTATATGCCAGGAATCCTAGCATGCAGGGTCAAAAGTAGGAGGATCCTGGTAAGTTCAAAAGCAGACAGGAATATCTAGCAAAGCCAGAACTCAAAAAGGCTGAATCCATAGAATACACAGAATATATGAACCCTCTTCAAGCTATGCACTCTGGATGATACTGATATTAATGGAGGATCATTAATTTATAACAAAGCAACTAGTTTGGTAGGACATGTTATATTAAGAAACATGTATGAGGGTTGGAGTACATTGTTCTGCCTTTTTCTTAATTTTCTTGTTAAATTAAAATTGATATGAAAAAGGAAAATATTTTTAAAAGTCCTAGAATTCTAATTAATCCTCATTCTGGTGTTCATGTTAGGACTCTGAATGTATTTCACAGAGTAGACCATATATCATACAGCACAGCCGAATGAAGTGATGGGAATAATCAGCAACAGTGAATATGGTAGGAATAGAAAGCACAGAATTTCAACTAGTTTGGGGGTTGGCAAGTCTGTGCTGTCTGGTAGCAAGGGGAATATTTTCAGTAAAACATGTGGAAACCCAGAAGAAGCTATTAAAGAACTCAAACAGTTTCTAAATGGCAAGGACTGACAAGGACAAAATATTGGCCATAGATGTGGTAGCATTTTATCAGTTATACAGGACCTCATCAGCCCTAAGGAGCTTGGAAAGGTCTCATCTCTAACTGATTCTTTCTGTGCCTCTGAAATCAATTTCACAAATCTCAAAGATTCTTCACTAAGAGTTAGTTTTCCTTTTGATTCCATTATTTTTGTTGTGTGGTCACTTATTTTTACCTTGCTTAAGCTACCTGGATACACTTCATTTCAATGTGCTTAAAACTGAAAGCCTCAGAAGCCCAGGACAATTTGTAGAAAAGAATCTTTCTAGATGTGTTTAATAACATTATAAAAAACAGGCACATTTCAGTGTGTTACAAATAACAATTTATCTATATAAGAAAATGCTATGGGTTAAATCTGTATTCCTATTTATTAACTATTTAATGTATTCCAATTTGTACAGAAAAAAATATGTTTTCTAACACATTGCCATTTTGGTTGGATAAAATCACAGTTTTCATTTGAAGAAAGGATTCTATTGTTTTAAAGGTCTGTAACCAGCCGTCCTGTTGGATTTGATGCTTTGAAGTTTTTCAAACTAATAAATATGGCTGACCACTTACAAATTTATCTGTGAGAGCATCAGAATGGTGTAACGAGAAGCATTTACTTCTCTTCACTCTGTTATGTTCATCAAATACAGTTAAGCTTTCTATCCAGAGTATACAGTTTGTCAACAAGAATCTTCTGTAGAAACTAATTTGCTTTGTTTCTTTCCTTACATTTTTGTATCCTTGTATTGTTTGTCACAGAAATCAACTTATTTCAAATAAGCTGCACTCCTTCCAGTTTCTCTATGTTAATCTTAGAAACTCTTAAAGTAGCAATCTGAATCACACATCTTTAACAAAATTTTCTTTACAAGGTCAGCCAGTGCAGGTATATAACACTTCTGAATTTTTACTGTCAATATTACTAAACTTTAATTTGAAAACTGAATATGCATTTCCAATGTTGACCCTTTTGATCAGTCACTTTATTTTAATATTTAGCTTTCACATGCTTATAGTGTCTTTTCCTCAGGTAAATTTAAGCTAATTTATTGTAGGGCATAAACATATTTATTGACAAACAGGCTATTATGTTTAGCTAATTTATTTTACTTTAAATGCTGTATTAAGACCAAAATACATGTTTTTATTTAGTTGTTTATATTTTATGTGTAGGAGTGCTTTGCTTGAATGTATATGTGCACGCATGGGTGAAATGCCTCTGGAGGCCAGAAGAGGGCCCAAGATCCCCTAGAACTGGAATTAGAGATGGCAGTGTTGGTGCTGGCACCCAACCCAGGTCCTCTAATTGAGCAGGCAGTGCTCTTAACCACTGAGCCATCTTTTCAGGTCCCCAAAAAACATGTACTTAAAGCTGAATCATCACAAAATAATTGCTGATTTTCAACATAACATGTTCTTGCTATTAGGCATTACCAATACTTTAAAATAGATTTACCCTGTAAATTTTACTAAAAATGAACACATATTTCTTTTTGTAGTAAAAAGTAATAGTTGCATTTTCTGTATTTATATTGGGTGATTGCCAGGACTCTAATACCTTGAAATTAAGTGCTGTATG